AGAACCTATATAGGGTTTCCGAGGCTGTAAATCTTTACGGGAGCAGAAAGCCTCATCTTTCTCCAGCGAACAGCTGGTAGTTTCGAACTGCTGACCTTGAGGTTAGCAGCCCGACTCGTAACCACTACGCTACCAGAGCACAGACTCTCAAAAGGACTAAGAGCTGAATGGCTGGCAAACCAGCTAAATGAATAGCCGCGAAGCCAGAGAAGGACCTCCGTCCATCACTCGCAGCCCCTCACCAGCTGTCTGTCGGCGACCGTGCGGTCCGGCACAAGGCTGTACACCTGGCTCCTCAGCACGATGGATGGGAGGGCATCCTCGAAGAGGCCTCGAGGGAACAGTTGCATCAGCTCCGCGACGGCTCCACGCGCCGACACTGAGTAGAGAGATCAGAGACAGCGCTCAGACCGAACCCACCGCTGCCCTCCAACGGACGCAGGCCCCGGGTATCCGTGGTTACTGGAAAGGCCCCACCCATCTGGGATCTTTAGCCCCGCCCTGGGTTGCCATGATTACCCGACTCGCCCCTCAGAGGATCCGCAGGTCCGCCTCCTGGTTCCCGCCGCCTTTTCAGCCCAAAGGTTTCCGAGACCAAGCGGTGCCTCTTCCGACTCATATCCAGGGCTTTATGGTGCCGGGGAAGGGGCAGGGGCCGTGAGAGGAGAGCGTTAGAATACGGTCTTCCGGCGCATAAAGATGACATGCGCTCTTGGGGCGTCTCTCCTAGGTACTTAACAACGCGATGACGAAAAGGCATCCTTTCCCATCTAGGAGAGGCGGTACTAAGGCGGGTACCACAGCCTTATGCCTGCCGTTGATAGGCTCCTTCCAAGGGCACGCTCGTCCAGGATGCAGGGGCGGGGCGGAGGAGGTGTCGCACTAGGATCAGGAGTTTGCCGCTACTGTCGCTGAATGATTGCGCCACTGAAGCAGGAAAACTCTTTGCAACCCACTTCGGTTTCTTATGTGCCTGCCATGACATCATAGCCCCGTGGAAGTGGAAGCCGAGGTTGGGGAACTTTGAGGTAACTAGGCCCTTGATCTGAGGCCAAACTGCCTTCCTATCCGCATTGAGCGTGGAGGCATGTGTCCCGGGACGGGGAGAGGCCACCGGGAGGGGTCGGGTGTGTGCCTGGCCACGACTGTTTTGAGATGCTGGGTACTAGTTCTGATTCGGAGTCACCCTTCTCAGTGGCCTCCTCTATAAAATGAGAATTGTTTTCCCCTCTCAGAACATGGAGTCCAGAGAGACCAAGAGAGGAGCTGGGAAACTAGAAGCAGCTGAACCTCGGAACAAACTCCCCCATCTAGCACCCTCACTGTCCACAGACCCTGCCCTCTATTCTGGGCCCTTTCCTTTCTACCGGCGCCCTTCGGAACTTGGCTGCTTCTCTCTGGATGCACAACGCCAGTACCATGGAGATGCCCGAGCCCTGCGCTACTACAGCCCACCACCTACCAATGGTCCAGGTCCCAACTTTGACCTCAGAGATGGGTACCCTGATCGGTACCAGCCCCGGGATGAGGAGGTTCGGGAAGGGCTGGACCACCTCCTACGCTGGCTTCTGGAGCACCAAGGCCAGTTGGAGGGGTGAGTGAAACCTAGCATCCCCAGACCTTCACCTCCCTCTAAAATTAAATGCCTCAAGTCGATTCCAATTTACAGTGATGCCCTGTCAAAGTAGAACTGGCCCTTAGTTTTCTTGGCTGTAATCATCACAAAAACAGATTGCCAGGGAGCTGCTGGGTAATTTCAAATGGCCAACCTCTCAATTAGCCGCTGAGTGCCTATCTTTTGCACCACCAAACTTGGAGTGAGAATCAGTCTTTAATAGTAACTTAGCGCTTCTTGGTGAGGAGCCATCCCCAGCTAATATTTAGGTCATCCTTCCAGCCTCTTAACTCCTCTCTCTCAGGGGTCCAGGCTGGCTGGCAGGAGCCATCGTGACGTGGCGAGGACACCTGACAAAACTGCTTACAACGCCGTATGAGCGACAAGAGGGCTGGCAGCTTGCGGCCTCCCGGTTTCAGGGCACACTGTACCTGAGTGAGGTGGAGACACCTGCCGCTCGGGCTCAGAGACTTGCTCGGCCACCCCTCCTCCGGGAACTTATGTACATGGGGTACAAATTTGAGCAGTACATGTGTGCAGGTGAGAGTTGCCCCTGTTCTGTAGTCCTGTCCACCTTCCCTAGAGATTGAGTTGCCTCCCTCCCCTCCCACTGCTTCTCTCTCACAGACAAGCCTGGAGGCTCCCCAGACCCCTCAGGGGAAGTCAACACCAATGTGGCCTTCTGCTCTGTGCTACGCAGCCGCCTGGGGAACTACCCACTGCTCTTCTCGGGGGAAGTGGACTGCGTAGACCACCAAGCCCCATCTACACAGCCTCCTGCCTGCTATGTAGAGCTCAAGACCTCCAAGGAGATGCACAGCCACGGCCAGTGGAGGAGCTTCTACAGGTGCAGAGTGTGGGGAGGCAGGGTGAGAGCCTAGAACTGCTGCTGAGAAAGGGACTAATGGCAGAAGAGGAGGAAGCTGCAGGGTTTGGGTCGGACAGAGGGAGGAGGTCCCCGCGAACCCCTTGCCTTTCCTGACAGACATAAGCTCCTGAAATGGTGGGCCCAGTCCTTCCTGCCTGGGGTCCCGAACGTGGTCGCTGGTTTCCGTAACCCAGAGGGTTTCATCTGTTCCCTCAAGACCTTCCCCACCATGGAGATGTTTGAAAATGTCAGGGTAAGGCAGAGCTTACTTGTATCCCCCACCTCCAAGACCTAGGGTCCAGCGTCCTAGGCTGCCTTCCTCTTCCTCACTGCCAGTCTTCTTTCTCTTCTTCGGCCATCTCCAGCATGACCGTGATGGCTGGAACCCCTCCGTGTGCATGAACTTCTGTGCCGCCTTCCTCAGCTTTGCCCAGAGCACGGTTGTTCAGGATGACCCCAGGTGAGGCACCCCCCTCTGCCCCTCTCCTCTTGGTCCTAGTGGCTGAGCCTCCAGCCCTCACCCACCTCCATCTACCCCTAGCCTCATACACCTCTTCTCCTGGGAGCCCGGCAGCCCAGTCACTGTGTCCGTCCACCGAGGTGCACCCTATGCCTTCTTGCCCACATGGTATGTGGAAGCCATGAGCCAGGACCTCCCATCGCCCCCCAAGACTCCTTCTCCCTGGGACTGAGGCTTCAGAGGAGCTGGTCCCGTCTCCGTACCCAGATAATAAAGGCTGATTTCTAAGCGTTTATCCCTGTTGTACTTTCTGAACTAAGCCATACCTTCCCAGCTCCTCCAGCACAAATGGGTGGTTTACTGTTTTATTACATTTGTACACAGGGACCATCCTGGGCAGCTCACTGGGTATAGAGGCTGGCTGCAAAGACGATGTCCCGCCGTAGCAGCATAGCTGCTGTTTCCATCTTAGCACCTAGCACAGGCTCACCTACCAAGCGGGCCGCCCCCCGCAGTGAACGACACATCTCAGCCAGTCGCTGGATACAGCGGACCACCAGGCCCTCAGGGGTCCCCGAGAGCCCTGCCAGCTCGGAGAAGGGCTATAGAGAGAGCAGAGTGAGGATCAATGCAGAAAACCTGGGCAGCGCTTCCTCACTGGCCAACCCCCAAACCCTGAGTCCTGCACTTACCATGCCCCGAGCCCACTCGTACACAACCTCAACCAGCCCAAAGTTCAGCTCTCCCACAAATTCCTCCACCGTCTGGTTCAGGCCACAGGCCACCTGGACCTCGCCAATCCGCTTGGCCACAGCCTGGACCCGCTCTACTCCCTGCAGATGAGGAAGGATGGAGAGACCCAGAGCAAGGAGGAAAGCTTTGCCATTCTTAAGGGCACTTAGATCCGGCTGGGTTAAGTAGAGGGCTAGAGTGGTCACATAGGGAACACTTGGATTAAGGGGGTGGGATACAGATCCAGAGTGGGGGGGGGAGGGGGGAACAGTCCCCTACCTGCTTGAGGGTACTTGGGAGCTGATCTCCAACATCCCCAGAGCTCTGACAGACCAGGCCCGAAAGCAGGGCAGCGATCTCCTCAGGCCGCAGGGCGCTCAGTGCATTGTCGAACATGAGCTCAGTGAGGAGCAGCTCATGGCTGCTCATGGCACAAGCCACTCGCCCTGCCAGCTTCACAGTGCCCGCCTCATCCACATAGCCCAGGGTTCGGAGCACCTGGAAAAAAGCGGATAGGTGTAGCGGTGTCTGCATCCTCTCCCACACTAGCCCCCAAGTCCCCTCCTGCCCATCCCACCTCTACTCGCTGGTGGTACTCAGGGAGCAGCAGCAGCGACTGGTCTGACAGCAGGAAGCTCAGCCGCTCCATCTCCTTCTGAATCTGCATTCGCTCCTGTAGCTTCAGGTACTGCAGAGAGCCCCAGACAGGAGCCTGTCAGCCTGCCTCTCGCCTCTTAGCACAGCTGCTCCCAGAAGGACAAGGGCTGATGTGGGGAGGAAAAGCAGCCACCTCCCAAGCAGAGCTGGCATCTGGGGCCTACCTGGGCAGGGAAACGGGGACTGTGCACACACTGAGCCCCCCGGATCAGCTCTTCCAGCTTGCGAGCCCGGAGACCACCCTCTACCACAGACACATCCTTGAGCTGCAGGTCATTGACAGGGTCGAGGGTAGGGGGCCCTGCCGGATAGGCCTGAGCCAGACGCAGCAGTTCCTGGACAGCAGTGGTCACGGCCGCAAAGGGAGGCTCCTTTCTGAGGTGGGAACAGGTCTTGAGAACTTCGACAAGAGCCTTCTCTCCTACAGGGATCCCTTTAAACTGTGGGAGTCCCATCACCACATGGCCTCTCTGGCTTGGGCAGCTATCTTACCACATCCCCACCCCCACCCATGGAGTCCCCCTTGTTCGGGCTGAGGAGTTCTCCCCCCGATATACTCGACCCCTGCCACATAGTCCCTCCCCAGCATCTCTGACTTGAATTTGGGTTGCTGCCTCTTGCTGAAGTCTTCCAAGATCTTCTCCCCATTCACCCGGAGCATCTTAGTGGTGATGGCGGCCACATCTCCTGGCTGGAGCTTGACCACGACATGGTGACAGGGCCCTGTAGAATCAAGCTCAGGACTCACGATGGACCCAGGCATCCCACCTGCACTGCTGTCAGATCTGGGAACCTGTCGCAGTCTCACCTTCAGGCAGGAACAGCTTAAATCCCACGAGGTCATCTGGAAAGGGCACGTCAGTGGTGGGAGGCCCTCTGTCCTGCGGGTCCTCGGACTTGGGCTTGTCACACAGGACCAGGGTGGTGAATACTCTGCTGGCGGAGTTTGAGGAGACCTAGGGGTTGGGAAGCCAGTAGACAGGGTGTATGAGGAGTGGGTGTCAAAGACGGAGCCCGAACCCCCACCATCCTCCGGCAGGAACCTTGGAAGCAGCCTTGCGGAGTCCACTAGTATAAAGGACAACCAAGTCAAACCCTCAGGGCAGACGGGGGGAAAGGAGAGGGAAAATGAGGACACATTGGCCATTATCATCCCCAGGGCTGCCTCTGTCCTCCACAGTCCTAGTCCCCATGCCCCTCACCTGCAGGATCACCCCCAACGCATTCTGGTGCTCCTGATTCTTCACAACCACGACTCTTCCCACTGACAGAGATTTCAGCCCATTCACAGACTCCATGATGTGTCGCTAAAGGGCAGGAGTGTGCACAAAGGTGAGGGAGAATGGGACCAGGGTCGGGGTACCCTGAGTGAAGTGTTCCCTTCCTCACTATCTCTATTACTCCCTCAACCCTCACACACATTCACCTGGATCAGGCTCCGGGTCTCCGTCAGTTCTTCCCCCCAGCTGTAATACTCAGGCAGGTCAGCCAGCTGATCAGTCATGTCAGGTTCCTCTAAGGCTCCCAGCCTCTTGGTCAGTTCAGCTAGAGTCTGTTCATGGGCCTAAGGGCCAAGGAGGGCAGGGAGGGGCAGGTTGTCAGACAAGAGTCTCAGGCCCAGTCTGTCACTTGTAGATGGCCACCTCTTCCCAGGCTGGCCTCACCTTCCCAGCCCAGTATACCCATCTTTCAACTTCCCTACCTTGCTGTCCTTGCGGGATGGAAACTCAGAGAAACTCCTCTTCATCATGTCCTCTACTCTAAGGGCATCCACTCGCAGCAGGTTGAGGATCATGGTGTATGTGAGGCGGAACTGGGACTGCAGCTGGGATGGTTTCCCCTGGGGCCGGGCCGAGAAGTCAGAGAGACTGGGGTGCGCCCTGCTACGCTCCAGCCCCAACCCCAACCCAGCCCTCTGGGGACTACACCAAATCTCAGCAGACCTAGTCCCTGCTTTGCAACCATGGGATCCCAGGCAAACTGCTTGCCCTCTTCTGGAAAATAGCTGAACTAACTACACAAGTAGACTCTCGTAGGCCCCATCAAGCTCCATGTTTACAGTGGGGACAAACTACAGGAGATGCGATCTCATCTCTTGATTTGCTTGCTTCTAGCTTGACTTCGAGAAGCCCTGGCAATTCAAACCACTCCAGTGCAGCTCTGCAGGAGACATGCCTGGCAATCTGCTCCCATGAAGAGTACAGCCTAGAAAATCTTTGGGAGCTTTCTACTATGAGTCAACATCGACAAGATGGCAGCTAACAACAGCTTTTCTTCTCCCAGGCAAAAGAAAAAAGCAAAGGCAGCTGGGGACAGGAGAGCCTCAGGACCCCCACTCACCATCATCATGCGGTGCAGGTCGGCCATCTCAGGCACACGGCCCTTGCAGAGCAGGATGACGGTGCCCGTGGGGTCAAGGCCCCGCCGCCCAGCCCGGCCTGCCATCTGCACATATTCCCCAGGGAGTAGGTCCCGGAAAGCAGAGCCATCATGCTTGCGCATGGAGTCGAACACCACTGTTCGGGCGGGCATGTTTACACCCATGGCGAAGGTCTCCGTGGCAAACAACACCTGGGGAGGAGGGAAAAAGAGGGCATCAGCAAAGGGGCTGCAAACACACACTGGCTCTGGCCAAGCCCACCTTACTTTGTAGCTGCCAGCAAGCACTATCATCATCCTCATTTTATTTAAGTAACTTAACTACCCATTTCTTCCCTTTTATCTGCATTTCACTCCCATCCCCTCACTGGCAACTATCTTAATGCGTTTACCCCAGTACCAGCTGCCCAGAGGCAACCTATGGGTGTCAGAGTAAAACCACTCCAGCGTCTTCAGTAGATCACCAGACCCTTCTTTCAAGGTGCCTTGGGGCAGACTCAAGTCCCCAACCTTTCAGTTAGCAGCTGAACACCTTCCTTACATGTTTGCACCACCCTGGGCCTCCTTCAGCATCTTTTTGCATTGAGTGTATTCTTACAGAATGTGTCTTGTTTTATGTGTGTGTGATTTGTAACTTACAAAGAAGGCATTATTGTTACATATCTAAGTTTGCTTGATTTCTTTTTCTCTAGTGTTTTCCAACATCCACGTTCCTGTGGTTACATCTAATCCATGCGTCCCCACTACAGCAGAACTTTGTGTTCTATGCACATTCCCCACATTTTACCTGCCGGTTTTCCCAGGCAAGAACACCCTTGTACCACCAATGCCTCTCTTCCCCAGTGCCCCACTCTCACAAACAAGATGACACAACAAGCAAAATAAGACCCTGTGTGTTGTCTTGTGGACCAGAGTCAGTTTCTCTGCAGTACGTAGAGATCCAGGAGTGAAATCATAAGGTCAAAGACTGGGTAACCATTATTACACTCAGACCTACTTACGCTGATCCACAGTCTATGAAGGTCCCTATCATCCCACGTTTCTTGCAGCACTTGGCATCAACCAACTTCCCAACTTTTGTCAATCTCATAACTGCAAAGTCACATCTTGTGAGGATTTCACTTTGCATTTCTCATTCTAATGATTTTTGCTTTTTCATGTGCTTGTCAGCTGTTTTAGGAGTCCTAGTGGTGCCACGGATTAAGTACTGGGCTGCTAACTGAAAGACTGGCAGCTCAAACCCATCACCTGCTCTGTGGAAGAAAGATGAGGCAGTCTGCTTCCGTAAAGATCTATGGCCTCAGAAACTCTTTGGAGCAGTTTCACCAAGTTACAGAGTTGCCTCTACAAGCGAGGATGGCAACTGTCTCACATACTGTGGACATGTTATCAGCAAGAACCAGTCCCTAAAGAAGATATCATGCTTGGTAAGGTGGAGAGTTGGTGACAAAGGAAGTCCCTCGATGGGATAGATTGATACAGTGGCTGCAACAATGAGCTCAAATATAAGGATTGTGAGGA